ATTTGAAAATAGTTTTTTTCAAGGAGAATATTTTCTATTTTAATTCTGTATCAGCGGTTAACCATTATAACAAACCACAATAATCATCATCAATCTAAAAGTTAAAGTTTATTGTAATTGTATCAATACCCATTTAATTACAATAGTTTGTGTTTATATCATATTCATATCCAAAAGGCCAAAAACCTCTTGAGATTTCACAATGACTAAATAGTACATCAAATTATGTTTTATATGTACAATCTTGATTAAAACAGTATTTAGCAATATTATAATAGGGATCAAGTATAACATTAATATCATTTATTGGTTGAATACAATTTTTGGTGTATATTAAATTATCTTTAGTCAAAATATAATTTGGTTATAATTTCTAAGAATATAATAATAATTACATATATATCTTCTAAGGAACGAGACTTGCAAATATTACAAAGTTATGGACATTCAGAACATTATCCATTGATTTAATCTCTGATAGGAAATTAATAATAATTTAATGGACATTTAGTACATTTAAAACTATATTAGAATTCTTCACATTATAAACATTCAGATGAGCAATATTTTTAGCAAGTTAAACTTTAGTCAGAAATTTAATAACCTTAATTACATTCGATTATCATAGCTGCTATTTAAGTATTAAATTAAGATTAAGGATAAAAATATTTATTTGGTAGAAACTGCATCATAAAACTTTAAATCCTTTAAACCCAACCATCTCCTATTGTCCAATCTCCATCAATTGTAATTAAAGCTTGTTCTAATAAATGTTCATAACAATCTCCACTTATAACTGAACTAGAATAGCCAATCTTACATTGAACACATTTAATAATAGATTCAGGTGATAAAACACATTATAAACAATTTGGTTTATATTTCTAGCAATTAATTATTTCTGGAGCTATATTAAAATCAAGAGAGGAGAGTGTACAAATTTCTTGATTGTTGAAATTAATAAAAGATCTCATACAATTTTAGATTTATGGTTTGATAAATTCACATTTTTCAAGATTGAAATTAAATGTATAACCTTCATTACATAAAGAACAACCGATTCGAACATGTTCATCCTAATCAAATTTCTCAAAATTACGATATAAGGTAGATTTACTTATATCATCCATCGAATATTCAAAACAATATTTACAATTACTTATTGGACATAATTTGCATATCTTATTAGATGTTAAATAATTTGGAGAAATACAAAATTAAGTCTTAGGAAAAGTATATTGAGAAATACAATACCCATCAACTAATTTGTAATTGAATATACATTAAGCACATCTTAATCCTTCTAATGTTACTTAACAAATTAAACAAAATGTAATTGAACATTCATAACACTTCAAATAATCATAAGATTTACAGAACTATTTAAATACTAAAGATTGCAAATAAAAATCTAAATATTATTCCTCAATACTATATAAATTTGTTTATTCGCAAATTTGGCAAACATAAATCTCCGAACCATCAAAGAGAAAGTATTATTGTAATAAGAGGAATTCATCTTGAGTAGTTCCATCTTCATTTAGATAGATTTCATAAGAGCAATATGGTTATTCACTCCAAGTTAAAGTATTTTATAAGCATTCAACACAACTCACAAAATTTTAATATGTTATTGAAGGACTAAATATCAATATATAATGTATAATACCATTTTAAACATTCATCTTCAAATTCAAAATATCCATATTAACATTTAATAGTTATACTGTTTGATATTAAATTCAATTTAGAATCTTCATATGATTAACATTTTGATTCATCAGTAGTATTCAATGGACATAAGCACATCTTAAATTCTGGATAATAAATTCTATTTGATTCTTGGGAGCAAGACAAACAGTCTCTTTTAGTTGGACCATCACAATCATAACAGCTAAAATGGCAAGTTAAAGATTATAAATATTAGTCACAATTTAAAAATGCCAAATTTCTGATTTGTACATTTAAGTAATTTTTATGCTATTAAAGATAATTTCCATATTGCAATTTCAATTACGGATAATGAAACTGTCTTACTTCTATTGATTTTTTAAATTCAAATACATTTGATTCTTAATAAAATATGATATTAATAAATAGTTGATCTTCCAATAATTTTACATATAAATAATGCCATAAGTTAATATCATTTTGAATTTCAATCATTTCTTCTATTAGAAATGGATTTTATTAAAAATCAATGGTAACTTAAGGAAAAGAATATTTGTATGTTGTTAGAACAATAAAATTTTATGTTGGTGAAATTTTATAACCAAATTGCAAAGGTGATAGATTTTAATTAGATAAAGAGTTATCAAAATTTGCGGATAATTTTATGAGGTAATATGTGAATTCTTCAGATGATTAAAAAATTTCAATAATTTTAATCCATCCTTATAGAGCAAATGAGTTGCAAATCATATTTTCTGATGAGTATGTATTTTTATCTAACCATTTAATATCTGTATCAGATATTAAATAGTTAATATTTAGCTTGCAATTACAAATTGTATAGGAATAAAAATTTTCTATTGCTTGTTGTGTTAAGTTTTGTGGTGCTATCAAATTTCCAATCATAAATTTTTCTAAAATTATTTTACCTGGAAAATAACATAATTATTTCCCTTTCTCGATCGAAGAGATAATTGAATCTTTTACTGTCAAATCTCCTCCGAAAGTAAATTATTAAACAATAATTTTGAAAGGAAATTTTATTAAAATAATTTCATGAAGTAGTTTCTTTTGTAATTATGTTACAATCAATTCTAATTTATTTTTTTAAGGCTATCCAAAAATATAATAAAAATACCAAACATTCTCATATTCAAAAGGATCTATTTGAATGACAAATTTGTGTTGATTTCTCTCATTATCAGAAAATATTATCGTTTTTGTAATTAATTTCTGATTAAAATCAAGACAATCATAATAAATAAGATTTACACTTTAGCTTGTTTGATCAATAATATTATGGATATTGAAGCAATTGCTATCAAATAATCCAATATTACCCACTTGGGATATTGGACTTAAAGGAATATATTTCGACCACACTCCATAAAAATAGTAATCCTCTAGATCAAAATTTATATCATTAATGTCAATCAATTAATTGTATATTTAGTAATATTAATCCATTTCTTAAATCTCAATTGCAAAGATTATTTTAAGTATTAATAGAAAGCATAGAAAAGTAATCATAAAATTGGATAGTTTATAATCTTAAATTAAAAAAATAAGTGTCATTCATTTAATCAAATTTTAAAATTTTCTGAATATTACAGGAAAATGATTGATTAAATTTAAATACTAAGGTTTACTTCTAATTATCTCAATTTTTAGGTCTTGTTATTAGTTAAAACTAAATAAATAATATTACTGAATAAATTTAGAAATACAAGAAATTAATATCATGATTAGAATATGAATCAGTCATCTAATATTTTATATTGTCATATTTCAACACAATTATTAATATTCAGTATTAATGAATATTTCAAATAAAAGAGTGTAAGATTTCTTTCTGTTTTTTTCAATTATTTTTCATATCGAACTCTCATCCTCAAATTTTCTCAATAAAATATCATTTTAAAAATGTAAAGAAACTTTCAGAAGGGAATATCATCATATAGATTTCAATTATCAAAACATATAGAAATTTTTGAGTTAAAAATATACTTACAATTTAGGTCATGTTAAAACTTTTGATTATTGATTATTTTCTTAAAAAATTTATTGAATAATTATTCATCAATTTGATCTTATTGATAATATTGTTAAACTCCAAAGGTATAATTTATTGAAATTAATTAAAATATATATAAATGTCATTAATACATTCTTTTAATTTACTAAAACATATATAAACATTTATAACGGTAATGATGTAATATTAATGTTTATGAAATATTGATTTATTTAAATTCAATTATGTTATTTAATTAACTAGTTTATTGCTATTAAATTATTTTATTCATATTAGAAAAATGTTTTATTTGAAACCTAATATAATTTTTCTATAAATTTTTATTAAAGAAATATAAATTAGGAGGAAGGGAAAGAAATGTTTATTTTGATTCACTTTAAAATAAATTAATACTTTCACTGAATTTACTTCTGAAGTAATGTTTGGAAAATCTAATAAATATGGGATGATTGTATACTATTGGTTATGAGAACTTTATACGCTAAATAATTCTTAATTGAAAAAATCTTGATCTGAATAACACTTTTAGATATAACATATTCAATATTGAACCTTTAATTTTACTGATTATACGATATTTATTTTAATCATTTCACAATTTTACTTCATCAAGCATTATTTAATACCTTATAAGTTGAGTTGCAACAATTAATTATTTTTATGTTTTGAATCTATTATGAATTTCTTAATTTATCTTAATTCATGTTCTACAACTTTTCTTAGCCCAAACACTTTTAAACTAATAAATGCTCTTCATATTAAAGGAATTTTTTTTAATAGATTACTCTTTATGTATGGATGCATTATACATTATAAAAAATAATTCTTACGCCATATTTGTTACAGCAAATTTAGATTAATTAAATTAAAAAATTGCAGCATCTACATTGCATTGAAAACATCTATATAAACACGAATTCGACCTTCTTTTATNAAATGTTTATTTTGATTCACTTTAAAATAAATTAATACTTTCACTGAATTTACTTCTGAAGTAATGTTTGGAAAATCTAATAAATATGGGATGATTGTATACTATTGGTTATGAGAACTTTATACGCTAAATAATTCTTAATTGAAAAAATCTTGATCTGAATAACACTTTTAGATATAACATATTCAATATTGAACCTTTAATTTTACTGATTATACGATATTTAATGATATTGTAAAACAATAATAATATATTCGATATTGATAGTACTCAGTTAACATAGATGTTAATTTTACTCTTCAACTTTGATTCTAATTAGATTCCCAAAAATACAGCTACCTTTGGATTTCAATCTAGATCTCAAATCAATGCCTTGATGATTGATGAATTCTCCTTTGAGAACTAGAGCTCCTTATGGTTATTAATATTGCGGAATAGGATATAAGGAATGTAGTGATATAATTTGTAGCTAAAAATATGATAGGGCATAAATACTACCTTCGGTTATATGGCTATGTTATTGGAGTGGATTCTTAAATTACGAGAGGATTTAATTTCTTATCCTGTTTTGACATCCCATAGACGAATAGACAATCCTGAATATCAGAAGCTAAGGTTTTTCAATCAGGTAAAAGCAGACTGATGTTACAGATCCATTATGACCATTTAATTTATTTAATCATAGATTCTTAAATTCTTCCAATTAAAATTCAATAATAATACTTCATTTATATTTATTCCACTTATACTAATATTATTAAATTAGGATCCACTAAAATTAAACCTAACAAAATTAGCTCCCAGAAAAGAAGTATTTAGATCAAATCATTTTTGTAAAACTAAATTTCTATTAATAAAGGATTTAAAAAATAATTATTAACCTTAATTATTAATGATATTATAAAATTACCAATTATAGAATAATGAAATATTTATAATTTTTGAGTCATCAACTTAAATATACATATATCATTAATTTTCATCTTTTATATATTAAGTTAGTTCAATAGATTTCTTATCCAATTATTCTAATATTAGAGGGATTAATTCATTAATAGAGGTGAAAATTAAAGTATTTTACGACTTTGATTTATGGATATTGTTTACAATACCAATTTGTAAATCCTTATTTCGTTTTATTTAATCTTTGAACTATTTAATATAAATTTAAACTAATTTCTTAATGAATTAATTTAAATGTAAAATTTAACTGGTTGATGAGTTCTCAAAAGAATACAGTTTTTAAAAGCTAAGAAATGATAAAGCATTAATTTAGTTACAATTATCTTGAATGTAAAAGTGATTATACATAATCTCATCAATTTATAAATGTTAATTATTTGATATATGTAAAATTTCGAGTTAGAGAAGATATAATTATTTCTGTAAATCTTAATCCTTTCAATTATATCGTATTTCTTGATGATAATATTTGAGAATATTCGTAATTATCTAAATTTGATCTTTTACTCCATTTGACTGCTGTTCCTTTTCATTCAGTAATGCATTTATGAACTGTAAAAAATATTCTTCAACCTGCCTTTGATTTTCGTCTGTTAATAGAAATTCAAGGCAATTAAAAATCTTCTCTTTCTTACAAATCTCAAGTATCGCAATGGAACTTAGTTGTCGATGTCTTTTTTAAGAAGCCAACATCTAATCCAAACCTATTTTCTAATGTATGTTGGTGTTCATTTCCTTTTGTTTTTGTAAATATTGAATTTCTATTACTCACTTTTTACATCTTAAATTATGAAAAAGTATCTTATGTATTTTTTTTGAATTTAAGAATATAGGATGATAATGCAAATAGTCTCTTACTAGTGATCAACTCATTTATAATCACTCGAAAAGTGAAATAATCAACCCAAGTGCTATGTAAAGGAGTACCACTTGTTTCATTATGATTATCCATTTTATGTAACCTGGAAATTCCTAAATCTGTTATTCTCAAGTTTTGGTTATGGTGAACATTAAATTGAATTTTCTGATTAAGAAATAAAGCCTGATGACATTTCCTAAAATCTAATCAATTATTTAGAACAATATCAAAAGATGATTTATAGTTAATAGAGCAAAATATATAAAATATTATTCATATTTAAGATTTTGTAACAAATTAATAATGTTCTAAATTCTAAAATTTAGAAATAACCTAATTCAATAGAAAACAATAAATTATTTTTCAATATTCAAAAATATTTATCAAGCTCAACAATTTCAATTATCCACTTTAAAATACGAATGATTATTTTTATAATTTCCAAATTATTGAAAAATTTCACTCTAAATTTAAAAAAAAGTCACTCAAACAATTCAATTATCTAAGAGTATTATTTAATTTATTATTAATTATGCTTAGAATAAATAATTAGAATAACCTTATGTTGAACTATCATCAAAGATTATAAAATTACGGTAAGAATTTGATAATTTGGATTAATTTTAATTAGTAAATTAGAAATTTTTGTTTAGTAGTCAAACCAGTGATGAGCCAAATTTATAAAATACCATCAAGACAAGATATTAAATGATTTAATGTTTGTTCTTTATACTATTGTGAAATGTTAACTACCAATTTTTAATCAAAAAACTAAAATTCATTGAAGTATGAATTAAATATAGCAAATGTTTCTAAACATATAAATATGTGGAATTATGATTTTTCTTGGAGTGAAAATTGTTTGGTAATATTAGAGATTATCATCTTAAGTTAGCAAAAAAAATTAATAAACATTATTAAACTGTTAGAAATCTAGAAGAAGCTGCTTATGATAAAGAAACAAGTCCAACCATATTCAATTATACCTAATCTTTATTAGGTTATTTTCATCATCATTATTCATATTCTTAAATGCAATTAAATTAAGATGTTAAAAAAAAAATCAAATCTATACTAAACGGAAAGATTACACATTGTGATTTATGTTTAGTGATAATTGTAGCAAACGCTATCATGTTTGTTCAGATTTTGTATGCTTTGAAATGATTTATGGATGACTGAATTAAATGAGAAAAATGATAAATAAGAGTTATATTAATCAAAAAACAACCTATACAAAAATAATCTGAAAAAAATGAAGTCATTTTGATGATATTTTAAATTAAATTAATCTAAAAAACTCAAACTTATATAAATTCATTAATTTGAATATAATTACTAAATTTCATTCTTTTTATTATTATTATTTTAATACTTCTTTTTTAATAAAATAGTATTTGTTTACTCTATAAAAAAATAATTCAGATTGACTAATTCAACAAAATTTTCGGCAACCTTTCTTTCAAAATATTTAAATTTCGTTTTTTTCAGTCGATAATAATATTAATAATTTTCTTCATATCCTACTCCTAACACAATTATAAAATCATCAGAAATTATATCTAAAGGCTATATATTACTTAAAATAATAATTTTCTTAACTTAAGACTGTATTGTTATAGATGTGAAAATCCATCGACTTTTATAATCTTAAAGTGGATAATTAAATTTCAGATATATGATTATTGTGTGTACTTAGATAATGCTCTAATTTTAAATTTTGAAAGTCAAAATCAATTTATTGACATGTTTTATTTAGTACAAAAATTTCTGATTTTCTTGATTATAATTATTTTAAGTAAATGAAAATTTCATAAAATATATCCTTAATAGTTTTTAAACAGTTGTGATACTTTTGGAAGGTTAATTTTTAACTGATTTAAATAATGGTAAGATTGCTTTAAATTGAGTTTATAGAATAAAAAGATTTTCTATATAATTTAGAATATATTGTTTGAGTGAATAAAATAAATTGAATATAATTAATGAAAAATATAATTGCAGCCACATTGACGACTCTACTCATTGGTTTTGGTTTATACGAAGTAAATTTAGATTCTGCTTCTGATTTTGAAAGATGGGCTTTGAAATATGGCAAAAATTATTATGGAGATGAGAAAATTTATAGATAAACAATTTATTATCAAAATAAATAAATGATTGATGAACATAACAAAAGAACCGATGCTACTTATTTAATGGCACAAAATCAATTTATGACTATTACAAATGAAGAATTTATTCGACTATATTTGAATACTAAATCATCTGAATAATTAAATCAATAAGATTAAGTTAGAAGAAACAATATTTATAAATCTCCAGAATCGATTAACAAAGAAAATAAACGAGATTCAGTTGATTGGAGAGGTTTGGTAAAAGTTAAAAATTAAGGATCGTGTCCTTCTTCCTATGCAATTTCAGCAACTAGTTTAACAGAAGCAGAATATGCAGCCTTAAAAGGAATATCTGTAACATTATCAGCACAATAAATTATGGATTGTCATTACATGAAGGATGGATGTGATCCTAATTTTGATAGAAATACTGTTTGGGAAGCATTAGGATACATGATGTAACATGGATTATATAATGAATACTAATATCCGTACACTGGTAAAGATCAGCGGTGTTAAATAAAAACAGATGGACCTTGGAAGATCAAAAATCGCTCGTGGTCTGCTTCTATGAAAGCTTATTCTTTATAAAGCCATCTTTATTTTAACCATCCTTATTCAGTTGAAGTTGATGGCACTAAATGGTAATTCTATGGTTCTGGTATATTTTCTGATTGTAGTTCTGCTACTAGCACAACTAATTATTATGCATTAGTTGTTGGATATGATAAATCAGAAAATTGGTTTGTTCAAGCTTCTTTTGGAACTACTTGGGGAGAATCTGGATATATAAGATTAGCACCAGGAAATACTTGTGGTATTTTAAATACGGTCAATCATGTGGACTTGAATGATTGATTTATCATAAAACCATTTATCATAAAATAACAATTTCATCCATATCTCTTCATTCATATCACATAATAAAACTATGTTAAATAGATATTTTGAGAAATGAACCTTTATGTTAAATTAAGTGTTAGTCTCAACTGGCATATGAACGGATCTCTATGACACCATTAATATGGCCATGTAAACAAAATTTAAAGCAAAGAGTTGGCCATGAGGATAATTGGAGATTATTTTTTTGTAAAATGATAGTTATTTTTTTTTATTTTGAGTTATTTAAGATTGAAATTCATAAATAGGATTAATAATAAGAACAATTTAAATCAATGAAAAATGAGAAATTGACTAGCAAAATAATATTATTGTTATAAACTTATCTTTATAAAATGAATATTCTAAAAAAGTAATTCAATTTATTAATTCAAATTCAAAAACTAAAATGATTGAACACATTTATGCTTAGAAAAATAAATTTTTTATTTTGTTTTTTGAATTTAAAAATTTGAGCAAATAATGATTGAAACAATTAGTATTGTTCGAAATAAAAGAAGCAAATTGATTAATTGGGAAAATATAATTCCTTAAAAATAAAATTTTAAATAAGCATTATGATTTTTAAATAATAAAATGAAATTAATCAATTAAGATTCCAAAGGCTTTGTCAAATTAAACTAATATTTTTAACAATTAAAAACATACCATGTAGTAAAATGAAGAAATGAAAATCTAATTGAGTATTTTTTCAAAGATAAAATAATACTTATAAGCTATCATATTGATCGAATAACTTGTTAATATTAATATTATTTTTATACGAAAAAATTGAAAGTTTATAGAATATTGTATATATTTTGTTTTAAATTCTTAAGAAAAAACATGAATTCACAATGTTAAAGGCAGATTTTAATCAAGCTAAAATAAAAGAAAATTAGCAAAAACAATATATTACCTTTTATAAATTAGATTAATAAATTTTTCCCTAATTTTAACTGGATCTTATGTCTATGTATTTATACATCATAATTTTGCTAATATTTTCAAGTATTGATCCTCTAAATATTTGAATGTATAAGAAAAATTATTATTAAAAAATCCTCTATTTAAGTATTCACTTCTACTTTAAATTTAATGTTTTCAAACTTACTTGAAAAATATGTTTCCTAGATTTTAGCTCTGATTCTATCTTTCTATAATAATCTATAATAATGCTATGCTGTCATTTTGAAATCAATTATTACATTTATAATTTTGAACCTTAATCCATATGTAATGCAGTAATAATGCTGTCTTTAGATAAAATATTTATGAATTGAATGTTGTTGGTCAACATTACTTAACTAATACAATATGTTAAAATTGCCAGTTTAAAGCATTACTTTATAGTTTGAGAAATCAAAATTATGCTAAGTTAGGATGGTATGGAGGTTGTAGTCAAATCGAATTCATAGGTTAAGTTAATTTCTTAGTTGAAGATTAGACTGGTAGCTTCTTTGGTGAAAAAGGTTACGCAATTGATAATAATACATATTTAGGTCCATGCCCTTATTTAACATTCTTATCACTGCACCGTATCAAAACTTAAGACTACTGAAGAATTCTTTGGAGATAAATTCTTATAATATGCATTTGCCCTTCTTGGAGGTGATCCATATAATTACTTTAACTTACAAATCAAAGAACTTAAATTTTTATCTAAATTTCTTTATGTTTATTGAGCTATTATTGATAATCCTGATATAGGCACAGATGAAGCTCAATGTTCTCAATCAAATTTTGAATAAATTGCCACTAATCTCTAATCATTTAACCCTGGAATCTATTTGTGGATTACTCAAAACTATCAAATGTTCTCAATTCTCTAATATTATCAGAAAGAAATTATTAATTATCCAAGTTGGCACAAAGAAAAATAAAGCCAAAATTAATGGACATGCTTTAATTTAGGATGAGAATTAAAAATCATAATAGAATGTTTTTTAAATAATAATTAATTTATATTATTAATACAATCTATATAATGGTACGATTAGAGAAGATATAATTATCTCCTTAAATCTTAATAATATAAAAAAAAAAAATTTTTTAATATGTTTTCTACATTATCTTGAATAGAGAGCAATGTTAAGATTAATGAATATCATATTGTTTTAACTTTGTTATATAGTTTAGATTATATTCTAAGATTAACTTTATTTTTTTAATTCTTGTTATATCTTTTTTATTATTATCTTTGTTATTAAATATATCAGAAAATATTTCTATTAAAACTTATGTTATGTTTATAAATAGTAATAAATTAAATAAACTATTAGAATCTTATGAAATAATAAGTGCAGTTGTGTAAATTAGGTTTCAATTAAGTAATTAAAATTAATCTCTTCATTTAGCTTACTTAAATCTCTATTAATATATTAATATGAGTTTTTTTAAGGAGATCTCAATAAATATACCCTACATTTCCTTTAAATTGAATATTTTTGAAAAACTTGTATGAATCATAAGAAATCAAAATAAAGAATAGAGAAAAAAAAAGATATAATTAAAAAAATATAAAGAATGAAATAAAATAATAATTGTAATGTTCTGTAGGAATAATAATAATCACTTTTACTTAAGGTCTTCCAAAAAGCAACTTCCTTTTTGTTTAAATAATGTTTTTAAATCTATACCTGATTGATTGATAAACTCTCCTTTAAGAATTAAAGCTCCTTTAGCTTAGAATATTGCCTTTTGGGAAATAAGGAGTGTGTTTATGTAATGGGTAGCTAAAATTAAAAAAAATTTATAGTACCTTCTTAGGATGGACAACTTGATTAAAGTGGAACCTTAAATTATGCTAGAATATCTTTGTAGCTTTTATCAGAGGATTGAATTTCTTATCCTGTCTTTACATCCCATAGACGGATAGAGTTATCACTACTACCAGAAGCTAATATATTTCCATCAGGAGAGAAACAGACTGATACTACACCATATTCATGACCATCTAATTTGGCTTTTTATTATCCTGTTTTGACATCCCATAGACGGATAGACTTATCATCACTACCAGAAGCTAATGTATTTCCATCAGGAGAGAAACAGACTGAGTAGACAGTACTAGTATGACCATCTAATTTGGCTTTTTATTATCCTGTTTTGACATCCCATAGACGGATAGACTTATCATTACTACCAGAAGCTAATGTATTTCCATCAGGAGAGAAACAGACTGAGTAGACAGTACTAGTATGACCATCTAATTTGGCTTTTTATTATCCTGTTTTGACATCCCATAGACGGATAGACTTATCATTACTACCAGAAGCTAATGTATTTCCATCAGGAGAGAAACAGACTGAGTAGACAGTACTAGTATGACCATCTAATTTGGCTTTTTATTATCCTGTTTTGACATCCCATAGACGGATAGACTTATCATTACTACCAGAAGCTAATGTATTTCCATCAGGAGAGAAACAGACTGAGTAGACAGTACTAGTATGACCATCTAATTTGGCTTTTTATTATCCTGTTTTGACATCCCATAGACGGATAGACTTATCATTACTACCAGAAGCTAATGTATTTCCATCAGGAGAGAAACAGACTGAGTAGACAGTACTAGTATGACCATCTAATTTGGCTTTTTATTATCCTGTTTTGACATCCCATAGACGGATAGACTTATCATTACTACCAGAAGCTAATGTATTTCCATCAGGAGAGAAACAGACTGAGTAGACAGTACTAGTATGACCATCTAATTTGGCTTTTTATTATCCTGTTTTGACATCCCATAGACGGATAGACTTATCATTACTACCAGAAGCTAATGTATTTCCATCAGGAGAGAAACAGACTGAGTAGACAGTACTAGTATGACCATCTAATTTGGCTTTTTATTATCCTGTTTTGACATCCCATAGACGGATAGACTTATCATTACTACCAGAAGCTAATGTATTTCCATCAGGAGAGAAACAGACTGAGTAGACAGTACTAGTATGACCATCTAATTTGGCTTTTTATTATCCTGTTTTGACATCCCATAGACGGATAGACTTATCATTACTACCAGAAGCTAATGTATTTCCATCAGGAGAGAAACAGACTGAGTAGACAGTACTAGTATGACCATCTAATTTGGCTTTTTATTATCCTGTTTTGACATCCCATAGACGGATAGACTTATCATTACTACCAGAAGCTAATGTATTTCCATCAGGAGAGAAACAGACTGAGTAGACAGTACTAGTATGACCATCTAATTTGGCTTTTTATTATCCTGTTTTGACATCCCATAGACGGATAGACTTATCATCACTACCAGAAGCTAATATATTTCCATCAGGAGAGAAACACACTGATCTCACACAATTACTATGGCCATCAAATCTAGCTATTTATTATCCTGTTTTGACATCAAATATACGGATAGAGTTATCATAACTCCCTGAAGCTAATGTATTTCCATCAGGAGAGAAACAGACTGCCATTACATAGTTACTATGGCCATCTAATTTAGCTTTTTATTATCCTGTTTTGACATCCCATAGACGTATAGAGTTATCATAACTACCAGAAGCTAATGTATTTTCACCAGGAGAGAAACAAACTGAGTAGACAGTGCTAGTATGGCCATCTAATTTGGCTTTTTATTATCTTGTTTTGATATCCCATAGACGTATAGACTTATCATTACTACCAGATGCTAATGTATTTCCATCAGGAGAGAAACAGACTGAATTGACTTAATACTAATGACCATCTAATTTGGCTATTTATTATCCTGTTTTTATATCCCAGATACGGATAGAGTTATCCCAACTACTAGAAGCTAATGTATTTCCATCAGGAGAGAAACAGACTGACATAACTAAATTACTATGACCATCTAACTTGGCTGTTAATTATCCTTTTTTGACTTCCCATATACAGATAGAGATATCCCAACTACCAGAAGCTAATGTATTTCCATCAGGAGAAAAACAGACTGACATTACTACATTACTATGACTATCTAATTTGGCTTTTTATTGTCCTGATTTTACATCCCATAGACGGATAGAGTTATCACCATTTCCAAAAATACTGCCACCACCAGATGCTAACATATTTCCATCAGGAGAGAAACAGACTGACATCACATCATGCTCATGACCATCTAATTTGGCTTTTTATTATCCTGTTATGACATCCCAAAAACGAATAGAATTATCACCACCTCCTATAATACAGCCACCACCAGATGCTAATGTTTTTCCATCAGGAGAAAAACAAACCGATGAAACAGGTCCATAATAACCATTCAATTTATTTAACTCATGAATTTTTAAGTTCTTCCATTTGCAATTGAGTAGTTAAGCACCATTCAAATTCAATCCGCTGATATCTACATTATCAAACTCAGATTAATTAAGGTTACATCTTACAAAATTACCTCCAATTAAAGAAGTATTCTTTATTCTGATATTTTCAAAGGATTGGTTCCTAATATCAACCTTCATGGCTACTAATAAACTAAGTCCATTTGATCCACATTGAATAAATTTAACATCTATGCTTGTGAGGAGAACAATAAATTTGATAAAATCTATAATTCCTTTGTTATCTTTCAACTTCTTAATTAGATCTTATCTTGCCTTTTCATAAGTCTCTGAAGAATAATTATCCTTACTAAATTAATGATCCTATATATTTCTCAAGACATTTGCGATTTTCTTAACTTATTTCTTCACATCCTTTATATTCACTTACTTGCAGTTTAAAGATTCATAAAAATGATGATTGTTTGTGTTCGACAGGAATCCAATAATGTCTGAAGCTTTCTCTTTTCTAAGTGTATCAAGAATCTTCTAATAGAGAGTTTCATCTATATTCTGGATGTAGGTTAGCATCTCATAAAAATCTTCCTTCATTAAATAAATTTCTTCTTCATGCTCCCTAAAGATAAGATTTATAATACTTACTTAATTAATGATTGGATCTATTGGATTCCTTTGTTAGACTTTTCAATAAAAACCTTTATATGTTGGTCCCACCAGCTCTTGGTTTTATCTAACTCCTTCATATAAGATATCTTCTCAGCATTCCAATCATTTAAAGTTGATCCTTCTACAATGTTTACTAATTTTTCTATATCACTGTAAGAGGATTCAGCTAGATTTGTATTTTCGTTGATGAGATTTAAGTAGGATTAGTTTTCTTTTTCAATCCAATCGTAGACTTATTTAATTAATTGTGACAATTCTTTCCAAATTTTCTTCAACGTTTAATCTGTTTGAGAGATTGCGGATTTTAAGGCCATTCTCTATTTGGTTAACTCAGATGATTCATTAAGCTTGGAGTCATTTAATTTCTTTAGAGCAATTTCTTAAAACTTTTTGAGGGATAGTATATGTTTAACATCTACACCATGTTCATCAAAACATTCACAACAAAGTTTCCTTTAAAATTTACAAATGTGAGGAGCTTTGCATATCAAAGTGATCGGATTTTGAAAATGGTGGGTGCAATTGATCATCTTTTATTTTT